CCGCGTCGTACGGTGGAAGCGGCGGCGCTGCCAACAACGGCGGCGCCTTAACGGAACGTGGCTACACCTCGGACGGCGGCGACGGCGGCGGCGGCGCTCCAGTTACGGCGGCGTCCAACAGCGACGACGACGAGTATCCGCCTGCATCCCCGCCGATGGTGCTGCACACGCCATCCGGCGCCGCTACGGCGGCGAACGCGGCAGCCTTCACTGCTGCTGCCAACTCCAAGGCCATCGTCTCCGCCAGCTGCGGCGGCGCCTCGCCGTACAATCACCATCACCACCATCACCACCACAACAACAACCTGTCCCGACCTGCTACTGCTGGCGCACCCAGCAGTACGTGGGTTCAGGCAGTAGGCCCCGGATCGGCCCACGTGGTCACAGGCCAACATCCACACCATCCGCACCACCATGCCGTACGCCTCAGCGGTGCCGTACTGCACTCCTCCCGTCCCGCCTCGCCCGTTGTTATGCCCGTCGCCATCGCAACGCCCCAGACGCCCTCGGGCATACCCCACGGTTGGCAACACTCGCCGTGGGACTGGGTGCCGGACGCGGCGCCGCTGGCGCGCAGCGGTGCCGTACAGCCGTACGGCCGCCAGGCGCTACTGGAGGTCATCGCTGACATCCACTACACCAAAGGCCTGCACGACCAGGTGGCGGCCGCCGCCTCCTTTCCCGCCACATCCATGTTGCAGTACATTGGCGCGTATTTTGAAGCACGTCATGGGCCCAGGGGTTCGAGCCCGCCCGCGGCGGAGTTGGCGTTGGGGCAGTTACTCGCATCGCTAGAGGTGCGTTGCTGGTGTAGAGGCGTCAACTGACTTCGGAGCACACCGTTCCGTCCTCATAAATTATTCTCATCCTCATGATTGTACGGATTGTACAAACGCGGACTTCTCCGTGAGCGAATTCTTTGTTCTGAGGCTTTTGCAAATTATTCCTCTGAGCAACGTTGGCCAAAAATTTTCCACTTAATTGCTTTAATAATTCTTAAACGAATGTTTAAAAGCCAAATACCTGCTACAGGATTTGCCGCCTCCTTCCTTTTCCATAGTTTTAGATGAGGTTTAGGTAAAAGCCCAATAACTCTCCACAACCCCGGCTTGGGCCCTCCCCTTTTTGACTTCTCCGCATTTTCCTGATTCGTTCCTGATGTCGTTCCAGGCCCATTCCGCGCTGTACGACGTGATGCTGTTTGCGCGGGTTGCGGGGCTTCAGGTGGGCGGGCCAGCGGGCAGGGGTTGGTGTAAGGGGTTGGGGGTAGGGGGTGGGGGTAGTGTAGTATCCTGGGTAGCACGGGATCTGACATCCGCCGATCGGTTCTTTTCTGAAAAAGACGTGATACAACAGGTTGCGGGGAAAAGGAGTTTACAGTTTTTCATTTATATTTTATTTCTCTCCGAGCCATGGCATGCTTCGCCGCCGGTATGTGCGCCGGAGCACCTGGGGGGAGGGGGACTTGGGAGTTGGGTGAGGGTAGAGAGGCTTCCGAATGCGCTGTTCGCCTCAGTGCATGCTTGATTTGGCTTGACCTGGTCGTCCAGCTGTACGACCTCTTCACACACCACATTAATTTAATTTCCCCTATACTCTACCAGGCATGGACCTGCAAGGGAGTCTGCCGCAACGGCAGTAGCAGCAACGCCGCCTCGCGCCCCGCTACAGCGCAATCGCTCAAGATGTCGGCGGCTGGCGGAAGTTTCAGTCGCCCGCGAACGCCGCGCGACGCCAACATGTCACCGTACGCCTCCGGCGGGCTCAGCCCTTCACGGCCCGGTACGGCAGCCTCTGTGGCTGCAGCCGCCCGTAATAACCGTACATTGTCGGCGCGCAACAGCATGGGGACGCCGCCGATGCTGTTGGGATTGGTGCCCTCCAGCCGCCCGAGTACGGCAGCGTCGCCGCCGATGGCGTACGGCGCCGCCAGCGGCACCGTCGCCGTCGACGTCTCCGACCTCGTCTTGCCGGTAAACGGCGGCGAGACGGTTATGCGAGTGCGCACTGGTCTATCGCCTACCATCACAACCTCCGCCGCCACCGCCACTTCCGCCGCCGTCAGCTCAGCAAACGCGCATCACGGAAGCGCACACGCGTTGCATACCGGAAGCCGAAGAGCGGGCAGCACTGCAGGGCCCCTCGTAAGCGCCCCCCCGCCTGCGCCTTTGCAACAACAGCAACAACCCCCTCCATCACCAACCCAACAGAAGCAGCAGCAATTACAGCAGTTGCAGCAACAGCAGCAGCAGCAGCCCAAGCCGCATCTGAAGATTCGCCCAGAAATACTGGTTTCGGAGCATCTTTCTCAGCTGTTGTCGCAGCTGAGTGACGTATCCGGCATGGATGCGCTGTCCCAGTTCATCAACACTGGAAGGCTGCTGGGCAAGTTGAAGCAGACCGATTTGGGACAGCCCTTACAGGAGGAGCTGGTAGGTAGTTCTTACGATAGGCAGGACGGGGGAGGCGGGAAACTGGGGAAACGTAGGGAACCGACTGCCTTGGATGCGTGTTCACGTAGGAGAGAACCCTACAAGGTTAGGAATCGTAGGTGCATGTGCAAGGCGCAGGAATTGTTTGTTTGGAATACCTGACATGAGAAACCGATTCAAATCTTGTGGATTTTCAAATTTGGAAATCGCTTCTTTTCCCTGTAGTAAATCAGGTTGGAGGTCGGAGATTGCTTCTTCATCGTTTTTGAATCCTCTTCGGAATTACTGTGATATGAAAGCAGCGCGCAAGCGAGCAGCAAGCTCGTATGTCCCATCACAGGTTCTCTATTATCCTGGCTGCTCTCGTTTTCTATCCGCCGCGGTTCCCATTTTTCCCCTTGTGGGACCTGGCCTGACTGATCTGATGCTTTAATGAATCATCTGGCAGTAAATCTTATCTGCTTGAGTTTTTTGTTTTCTGTTCCACCCGCAACACTCATTGGCAGCACCCCGAGTTGCACTTCACGGTGCGGCAAGTCTGTGACTCTCTGCGGATAGAGGAGGCGCCGGAGCTGCTAATACGGCCAACACTGCCGTACGGAGCTGATCTTATGCTGCTGCAGGTGGGGATGTGGTTGTGGTTGCGTGTGTGTGCGCATATCAAAGAGATTGGGGGAAAAGGACCTAAGGAGAAAAGGAAAGGTATGCTGGGGGAAGGCCGGCGGTACGATGTTACGTACGGCATGCTGGCATGGCTCAGAGGCGCACGCACAGACATAGAGGAACGTATGTGCCCGTCGACCGCCTCTATTTTCATCGTCGGCCCCGACGGACAGACGGGGGGATGACAACGGGACCGACCGCATGGGTGTGGGTGTTTCCCTCCACCTCGCCAAAGTGGCTTTCCGTCTCTATACGTGGTGACGACAAAATGTGGACCCGAAACACCTTCAGGATCACTTGGAAATATTATATACATTATGTGGAAAAAGACCCTAACCCGCGTGTTAGCTTGCCTTCCTGCGTCACCTCTAGATACACTCTCTTCCGTCCCTCCCTGGACAGTCCCAACAACGCCTCTCCCCCCAACTTTCGCTTGCCGCCAATCCTCGGCTGCCCCCAGGTGCCGTACGTGGCCACCGGCTCTCTGGCGGTTCTGGCACAGGGGGACGTGGACAGGCAGCCGGTGCTGTACCCGCTCGCCGCCTCCAGCGCCGCCGCCGGCGGCTGGCGGAGGCGGGGTGTGCTGTTGCTGACGCCAGCCTTTGTGGCGGTGGCAGAGCCGGCCATTCTGCGGGAGTCTGAGGCGCCGCTGATCGGGGATGAGCTGCGAGCCATGTTGGGGGCTGCGTTAGCGCCCTTGGCTATGCCAGGTGCGGAGAAGGAGGACTTAGGGTTTGTTCTGGCACTCCGTTGCGTGCACGTTCTGTAGTCGTGGAAATGGTTGGGTGATAAATGATCACAACAACATCACATTATATAGCGTTTCGGGTGAAGGGTGATGTGCATGGCCCCTTCACTCCCATCCTCTGCCCTCCTTTCTGGGAAGGGAGCCCGCTGGGCCCCGCTCGCAACCAGGGGCCTTATGCGCTGCTGAGTTGGAGCTAGCTGGTCCACCTGCTGAAACAGAGGAAAACGACTGCTGTTGCAGATGCCGATGATGAAGATAGTGATAGTAATTATGAGATAATGCTACTTGCTGCTGCTGCTAATGATAATAATGGTAATGATGGTACACATGATTCTGGTCGTTTTGGCAATCATGTTGATGTTGATGTTGATGTTGATGATGTGGCGGATGTCACACCTGGGGGGTGCCGCCGCCACGCAGGGGGTACCGGGTGGAGGCTCGAGGTGCAGGGAGCCCCGCCTAACACTCAGTCCGCCACTACAGCCGGCGGCGGTAGCGGCGGCGGGAGCAGCGGTGGAGCCATCGGCAACAGCGGCGGTGTGGTGGCTCCCCGTACCTCTGGGTCTGGGGCACCGCCCGGTTTCCCCCCGCCGTCCAGCCCCACACTTCTCAGCGCGGCCGAGGCGATCACGGTGGTCAATGCGGCAGCTTTGAAAGGCCGCTCCGTGGCATCAGTGCTGCCCAGCCAGCTTCAGGTGTGTCCTCTGTATGTATGTGTGTATAACAAGTGTGTGCTGCTTTAACACGTAACCGGCGGGCTTTCTTCGTACTTTGTTCGTACTTCTGTTTATTTCCCTGGTTTCGGGCCGGTGTGCACACATCGGCGACTTGTTTGAATCCTTTGTGTCGAAATGTTCAATATATTCAGTGGTATGGTTGTAGCAGCGCTACACGCGTTCGCTGCTTCCGCTGCTTGGATGCCCACTGTATCATTTCCGTTGCCATCTCACCCGTCCGGAGCCCCTCTCCTCCCGGCCCTTAACACGCAGTTCAAATGGGACAGGATGTTGGCACACTTGAGGACCGTAGCGGCGGCTGCCACCGTCAGTGCCGACCGCGGGGCGCTGCTGGCGACACAGAACATGGCAGCGGCGGTGCGAGCGGTGTTTCGTGCGGCCGCGGGGCTGGGTCTTCAAGATGGGGCCCAGCCGGGGAGTAGCGAGGACCTGCTGCTGCAGGTGCGGTTGCGTCTGGTTGGATTTTCTGTATGCTAAAGACAGCTAGGCACGGGAGGCTGTAGTAATTGCCGTTCGTGCGGCGCAACGGATAACCACAGCCACAGGGAAAAAACAGGGTCGGTTGCATGCTTGAGGGCAGCTTGAGGGGAGGGGGCTGACGGAGTGTCTTACGTTTCATGAACTGTGTCGCCTGGATAGCGCTGTGGTGCGAGGTGCAACTCCCGCTGTAATGTACCTTGTACCTACTGCATATTCGGTGGACTTTGAGGGTGCAAGAGCAAAGCCTATGATGCAATCCTGATAAGCAGGTATGTGCGTTGTTATCCCTTCCCTTCCAGGCGCAAACCATGCCCGTCTCAGATGAAAATATGATGTGTATGGCAACCGTACCTATCCATGAAGCCGCGGCTGAAGGAGGGGACAGCCGTCGGGGATATGCACTGGCACGCGTGGCGATGTTAGCGCGATGGGCTGAAGCTCCGGAGTACAGGTGAGCATGCTGAGGGATAACCCAGTAAATGGGTTAATATGAACTGAGGTGAGCATGCTGAGGGACGAAATGGCTACTTTTTGTCTTGTTTTGAGACCCCTTGGGAATAGAAGCGCCATACGAGTATTCCTTCGTAAACCCGTCGCGCTGGCCCCCGGTGCCCCCTGCTGGTCCCGTGCAGGCAACTCTTGAGGTCATCAGTTATGTGATGGAGTGTAGAGTGTGGAGCATGTTCGTGTGCATATTAAAGGGGCTGCAATGCCCTAAGCTGATTCGTTGAAGTGCGAGGAGGCATGCCAGCATACCGCTATAGGGGGAATGTTCAGCACTGACCAAGCATATCGTAGAGCTGCAGTGGAGAATCCACGTGCTCATGTATTGTTACACTTATACTTGCGCACACTAGAGATTAGCAGGAGTAGCGGGCAAACATCCCAGGATATGACACCTCGTCATAGACTCCCTGAAGTCAACCAATACGTGCTTCCATACGATGTAAAATTTTCCTATGTTCACGGAAATAAGCTCTCTCTACGGGTCCAGTAAGCCATTGGCGCAAAGGCCAAATCTTGTGACCGGACGTTCCGGTTTATCGCTGCGGCTCGCCAGTCATGGCAAGATACACGCCATAAATCGAGCCACCTGTCAAGAGGACCGCCTGGACCTTCACAGTAAGCTGCCGGAAGAAGTAGTTGTACCTGCATCGGGCCGGGAGCAGGACACACATCAGAAAACTGTATACTAGCAGGCTCCTCTTGACATGAGCATCTCCCGCTCGACAACAAAGCAAAGAGACGACGTACTACGAAAGATGAAAACAAAGCCATCATGACACGCCGCAGTCCTCCTTACTTGGGGTTAGTGAGGTCATTCCACCTATAGGACTCAGCCGCTGCTTTCTGCAAATACAAATGAGGATGGAAAACATTGAGTGCCGCGGCCCAAAGAGGCTGCAAAACTGACGTCTAACTCTCCGGGACCTCACCAGGATGCGCGAAGGGAACATTCTGACACAACCTCTAGCTACTCCTGAGATGCAGCTGTAACGTACTGTCCTGAGGTGTTGCGGAATGAAAGAAATTATGTTTTCCAAGTTATTATTGGAAAAGGCTGCCGTACATAGGTTAAGCCTATGCTTGCCGGTACAATTATCCATTAAGTTACGTTTCCTCGAAATGATTCCTTGAGACGGCCCCTTTGAGGTCTACGCCCCGATTTTACAATTTGGCGTTATAGGGCCTGCTGAATATTTGGTTTTGTTGTTATTTCTGCGTGTGACTGTATCCTGCTAGCACCTAAACTTGATACGCTTACGATAGAGCTTTAATACTTCTGTGATCCGATCTGAGGTTTTGCAGCGGGCACTAACGCCCCAGCGAATGTCGTGGAACTGTGCCAGTGGGCGGACAACGTCTCACAGCGGCGCTGCTGCAGCACAAGGTCAGCCTCGATGTGGAAAAGGGTTGTCTCCACTCTGCTCTTGCCATCCCGCAGGCGACCATGTACCTACCTCCTTCACCCCCGCAGAGCGCCCCTTGGCACGGCCCTGCCCGCTCGTGCGCATTCCATCACTGAGCACACTTCACCCGCCTACAAAGGGCCGCTTGATAATGTGGCCGCTCACATCCATGACAAAGAAGCCGCGGCATCTGTTGGGGCTTGCGTCTTCCTCTCATCCCGGGGATAAGAGCACATCTGGGTCACACATGCAATCACGGCGAGGTGCGTGCTATGTCACTATCTCCGCGTATCGTCTGTTGCAGCACATTTCCTGAGTAGGGTTACACTCCGTTAACTGTTTTCCCTGGGGGACTGCGTATTCTTTTCCCGGGCTACATTTGTTACTCTCCCAAGCATCATGCAGTCCCTCAAACTTCCTCCAGCTCCCTTTCCGGGAAAAGGGGGGAAAGAAGGAAAGGATGAAAGGGGAAATCGCTCACCCGTGTAGCAATTCGGGTTTACTCTCTCCCCCCTTGGTTTCCCCCTCCCCTCCTGAGATCTCCCCCGCCTGAGATATCCCAACTCTCCCTTCTCCCACCTCCAACCCGCGACTCGTACCCCCCGAAACGCCCACCCCACATGTGCGCTCGTATATCCGCTCGTTCGTACATCCTTATACTGCGATATTCGTACACATCAACACGCTCACGTGGCACGAATCACGGATGCTTAGCAGGACCCGATGACAGCATAGTCATCACGGCATCTGCGGTAGCACCCATGCTACCCTCGAGCACCGGCAGCGGCACCAACCCATTGGGGGGAGCCCCCTCCCTCCTCCACCACCATCACCACAACCACAACCTACACCACCTCTCACACGCACACGGCAGCGCCAGCGGCGGCGGCGGCGGTGCGACGGGCGCCGGTGCAGGACCAGGTCCCCTCTCCACATCCGCCAGCACGCCTGCTACAGCCCTAGTGGGCCTGCCGTACCAACGTCCAAATGCGGCATCTAGCGGCCAAGCTGCATTGGCCGCGGTAAGCGACCCGTGGGTCAGATGTTCATACGGGGTCTCCGGAGGAGTGTGGGTACTAGTGTTAGGGATCGGATGGAAGCGGGTGGGGTGGGGTGGAATGGCCAATGCCTTCACTGCCCTTATTGGCCCGCCACACCACCACCATCCCACCACGCCCCTCTGCAGGCAGGCTCCGGCTCGGGACCCCTTCTCTTCAACGCCAACATCAACAACACCAATAACAGCACCACAACCACAACCACAACCATCAGCAACCCCGCCACCGCCGTCACCACCCTATCCTCCCTGGACGAAGCCGCGGCTCGCTCCGCCTGGTCCGCCTCGCGCCGCGCCCAGCTGTGTGACGGTGGCCTGCCGGACCCCGACATGTGCAGTCTGGGGGCCCTGGGGGGAAGCTCGGAGGAGGAGGACCTCCTCGCTGACAAGGACAAGCCCTCGGGCCTGGGAGGGGGCCAGTCCGGGGGGTCGGCGGCGTCGGCGCCCGTTATTGATGAGGCGTTAAGCAGGTCAGTCAGTCAGTCTGTTTGTCTGTCAGTCAGTCTAGGCTGTCTGGGCGAGTGTTGTTGATGAAACTGTTATCGTTGCGGGTGCGTCAAGAAGGTGTGTGTGTGTGTGCGTGTGCGTGTGCGTGTGCGTGTGCGTGTGTGTGTGCGTGTGCGTGTGCGTGTGCGTGTGCGTGTGCGTGTGCGTGTGCGTGTGCGTGTGCGTGTGCGTGTGCGTGTGCGTGTGCGTGTGCGTGTGCGTGTTGTGTGTGTGTGTGCGTGTGCGTGTGCGTGTGCGTGTGTGTGTGTGCGTGTGTGTGTGCGTGTGCGTGTGCGTGTGCGTGTGCGTGTGCGTGTGTGTGTGCGTGTGTGTGTGCGTGTGCGTGTGTGTGTGTGTGTGTGCGTGTGCGTGTGCGTGTGTGTGTGTGTGTGTGTCTGTGCTCCTGGCAACGCGGCATGGGGCTGCGTGTAAAATCAAAAGGTCAAAAGAAAGCGAAAGCAATAGTGGGAAAGCCCTTGTTGTGAGGAGTGTGTTTTGAGGTGAGAAGGGACACGGAAGGAACAATAACATTATCATCAGCAGCAGCAACATCAACATCAACATCAACATCAACATCATCAACCCAGGGGGCGTTTTACCTCCACCTCCACCTCCACCGCTAGGCCCCACCCACCCACCTCCGCCTTGCTGAGTAATGCCCCTCGGGTCCCTGCGGCCGGTGGGGGATTCACCGCTGTTCCTGACAGAGGCCGGTGGCTGCTGGGACTGTTAATCGTACAGTCGACGTCATCATTCGTACTGGATGCGTACCAGGTACGTTACCATACGAGGTAATGCTGCCGTGCATCTGAGCTTATGTCGGTGCGAGACACGTCACCAGCTTTTCAAATGTTAAGCACACACACACACACACACCACTACTACGTAGTAGCTGTTTTTTTGGTCACTTGATGACCAGACGTCTTCAGCTCGCCCCAGCGGGCCTCGAGGGGCTTGGGGATTTACTTTCTCCCGCCCTCCAACATCCCACCCTCTCGCTGCCTACCAGCGTTTTCACTAAGTTGCGCACCATCCTTGAGGGGCCAGCGACTGCTGTGTTCAGCCACCTTTCAGCGCTGATATAGGAGCGCCTTTCAACCACCCAACGTTCTCTCTCCCTGTCGCTGCCTGCGTACCCTCCCTGTACGAATGTCTCTCGCAACAGGACTTGCTCCGGGACCACTTGGTGGTGACTCTGTTCCTGACCATGCTGGTGGGCGCGGGGGGCAACGCGGGGAACCAGTCGGCGATCAAGGTCATTCGCGGACTGGTGAGTAGTGCTGCACGTCCTGCGGGGGGGGGACCTGTCTTGCGGTTGGAGTAATACTACCGTCTCGTTAGTGTTTACCTCTCTTCTCCGCCGTACCAGTCTACCGGTCTACCGGTCCTCTGGCTCGCCACCCCCTCGGCCCGCCCCGTCCTTTGCTCAGCCGCCGAATAACTCCGCCGCACCTCCCACACCTCTGCAGGCCACTGGAGCCATCCGGCCCAGCTGGCCCAGCGCCCGTGCCACCCTGCGAGACCAGGCGCTGGTGGGGCTGCTGCTGGGCACCGGGCTGTCCGCGGGGGGCTTCGTGCGCGTGTACGCCACACACGGCGACGTGGCCAACGCCGCCGCCATCTCCGTCTCCCTGTTCCTCATCGTGATGACGTCGGTGGTACTGGGCACGGGGCTCCCCTTCGCACTGGCGAGAGCGGGGGTGGACCCGGCGAATGCGGGTACCAGCATCCAGGTGTGCTTGTGGGGGAGGGGGAAAGGGAGGGGAGGGAGGCCGGGGCTAGCGTGCTCCATTCTTATCGTGTGTGTACCATCCGTTAATTCCGTTAAGTCCTACAATGCCCTCCCTACACCAAGTTTGACCCCCCTGCCGCGCGCCCCCCTTTTGTGGACGTCCTGGCACATAACACGTTCACTTCATGCGTATCCCCCAAAGTGTAACTCTCTCCCCTCTCTCTCCCCTCTCTCTCCCCCCCACACCCATCCTGGGGCCCCATTAAGGTGTTGATGGACATTCTCGGTGTGGCCATCACGTGCGTCACGTGCCACTTCGTGTTGGTGCAGCTGGCCCTGGGGGTGGGGGTGGGGGTGGGGGCCGCTGCGGGGCCCATAGCTGGGGCGGCGGCAGCGGCTGCTGCGCTGCCAATGTGAGCCGGGGGGGGGGTCGAGTGGAGACCGGGAGGTTGTGCAACCTAGCTACAGCACTACAGCACACAGCTATTTAGGCGGGAAACTTTCTAAGGCGGGAAATTTTCTAAGATTGACTGCGACCGAGGTGCCACTTGGTCCGACTGATGGCGGTGGGGAGCGGGGGGAATTACGATGATGATGATTACGATGATGATGATGTCAAGGAAGTCAGGCAGGATTCAACTGCCGCGACGCCCTAAAGCTCCCCGCAGCGGATTGGGGCTAGAAAGCCAAGTTGATCCGCCCTTCCGGAGTTTTGGGGTTTTTAACTTTTTGCAACAGTTTGTCTACGTCTCAACAACTTATGACGGAACGAAAGGGTGGTTGGTAAAGGCGTTGAGCGGCGTGGAGTCGTAGCAATGCGTGCGTGTGTGTGCGTGTGTGGGGGGTTGTTACATGTGGTGACGAACAGTGGGCCGGGAGAGAGGCGCGGAGGCAGGAGAGGACAAGAGATATAAACAATTACGACATAGTATGTATGTATGCATGTATGTATTGAACTTAATGGGCTTATTGTTAGTTATCACTGAGTGGCGGCGGCACCGTACAGGTAGTTAGCTGGTCGATGGTAGGGTCTCAGATGGGTCCCGTCACGGTGACTAACTAACTAACTAACTAATCTAACCAGTCGTGAGGAACATGTGGGGACTAGGGAGCAGATGTGGGGTGTATGGAGGGCCTGACGACGGTGGTGGTGACCACCACGGTAGCGAGGGTTTCCTATAACAGGCGATGCAGGACATTCTTCTGGGGTCTAACGGGCAGATGGGGGGGAGAGGGGGAGAAAGAAGAGGCGAGAAAAGGAAAATGAGGCATCCGGTGAGCCAAGTTTTGAACGGATTTGGCGGGAGCTCTGTTTGGATTTGGTTTTTATACCCCGGTCAAGTCCGGGGGGTAATTATTGCGCGTATCTTAGCCGGTAATCGAATTGCGAATTCTGAGTCACTCTTGTATGGTACGGCATGTCGTGTACGACTGAGTTGTTCCGTATGGGCACTGCGGTGAAGACGTGTCGCGGCATCGCGGGACTTGATGTACGGCGCTACACGTACCTCTGAATGCGGACCATTCCGTGAATCCAGCGACGCAACGAAGTGGAGTAGCAGCCAATCGGATGCGACACACCACGTCACGTTCAATACCCATAAACAAAAAAATAAGCTTGCTGCTCAGAGCAGCGGGCATGCGCCTGCTTTTACCGGAAAGCCCCCGGGAGGAGCCCAGGAGGCCCTTCCTGCTCGTCTGCTGCCGCTGCGGCCAATAATACCTCACCCACCGGCGCTGCACAACGACAGCATGAAGGGATTCATACGGTATTCTTAGCTAGCCTGCAAATAAGCCAGTACCTCGCACCTCATTACCCGGGCCATCCCTGTCGAACACCAAGCACGTCCTTGGTGAGTCATCTCCCGCCCTGACGGTGCCTAGAACCGCCGAGTGACATCCGCCGCACCACGACTAGACAATGCACGCGTGTACCGGTGCACACATCCTGAGAGTTTGCAGTCAAGAGTGAACGAGAAACCACAGGTACGTACGTAGGTAGGTAGGTAGGTAGGTAGGTAGGTAGGAAAAGCTACCGCATCACCCCTCCTTCAGACGCTTGATAAGAATGACAGCGAATTTCCTCACGACGTGTATGGCATGGTACGTGATTTCCCTCGCTCGTTCTACATCCTCTATATTTCCCCTCGAGCCGGCAACAAGACAGCAGACAACCAACTGCCAAGCCGTGCCAAAAGCCGGTCTCACCAGGATTGCATCCTTTAGTCCAGTCCGGACCTGTAACCCAGCCCTCATCATCCAGCCCCCACCTCGTGCAGCGCGGGCCGTCACGACGGTAGCTGCTCCGTCCTTCCAGGTCTGGAAATAGTACACCGAGCGCATAATGGTCCAATTGCTTTTCACCGCAACATCGCCAAGCACGTCTCCCTTTTTCCGCCCTTATGCTGTAGTGAACACCCTTCCGTCACCGCAGGATTATCGTCACAACACATCCTCCCCCCCCCCTTCTGCCTGTGCGCACCAACAAAAACCAATCGTCTTCTGTCCTTTTCCCAAGCAAGCCAACCTGTGCACACACTCACAGACATAATCTCATATCCATGTTTGTGCGGAGCTGCATTTGTATGGACCACGACAAGATGGGCTGTAGCTGCCGCTGCCGCCGCGGCGCTGCTCCTTATCGTCCGTATAACTGTTTAGTAATGGATGATTATATGTAGCATGGGGTAGGCGGACCCACTTGACCACGAGCACGACAAAGGAACCCTCCCTGCTGCGGAGCAGGTCGTCTGGCACGCCGTTGGTTTCACCCAGTGAGGAAACCCCGATGCTGGATATCTTGAAAATGCTATGGACAAAAGCTTAGAGCTAGATAGCTAGCCACCTAGCGGGCAGGCAGGCGCTAACGGAACGGCCGCTCGATGGCCGGTCCCATGGACCTGGTGGTGGCGGGTCCCGCTGTTACAGACGCGGTTGGTACGGAGGAGGGTGAGGAGGAGGGGGCTGGTGCTGCAGTTTAGTTACGCAAGTCACGGTACATACACGATCCCAAACTCCCAAACACCTGCCAGCCTCCCTCGCCACCCATTCTCCTTCTGCCACATTTGAACATCCCCTTCGGTTTTGTTTTTCGGTGACTCTGCCGCCCTCCCCGAAGACCCGTAAACACAAACAGAATTACAAACCAGAGCAAAGCACTTAATAACACGCAGAAGGCGTCCTGCGATGTCACCACCACCAGTACTGTGCACCACATCCCCTATGATCCTATCCCAATTCCTGACGCTCCACTGCAGTACATGCAGCACCAGTCCCTCAGGAAGCCGTACTCCCTCCTGCCATGCAGACCTCTGAAAGGCCGCTCCAATCAGTTGGAACATTTTTTATTGAACACAACTAACTACAAACCAACCGAAACCAACGACCTGCTGCTGAAACCCTAGTCCATACCCCCATCTTATTAGCAGAAAATGATCCTGCAAGTCTCCCCTTCCCCACCACGCACAAATGCAACCGAGCTTCCCCCCGTAACCCTACATGCCTGCATGCCTACCCCTAATAGCCGCCTATCAATATGCCGAACGACTCCCCCAGTAATAAGGTTTCGCACATACAAATCTCTCTCGGCTCTCTCACTATTTACATGTACGATTATCAAAGTGTGTGCATGTACGGCAGCAGAGAAAAATGCTATCCAGGAAACTCCCATAGGGGTAATGAATTCCGCTCTGCAGGCCCCCGCTCATCGGGCCGCTCACCCCATGGTGCAGTGTCAGTACCTTCATTCGCACCACTGTGACAATGTGATAACAAACACCGCTTCTGCACCCGCCATGAAGTGTGTAGCACTAGGTCAGCTAGGACGTGGATGTCTTCATGCACCTATTCCATGCCCACCATGAAGTGGGAGTTGCATGACAAGCTACTGGAAAATACCCAGGTTCGGATTGTTGTCCACACCCCGCCCCAGTCACTCTGTTCTCTCTATGCTCTCCTTCGCAGGTGCCACTCCGATGCACCTCCTTGCAGCCGCCTGGCCCTGGCTGCCAACGAGTTCAACGACCCACCCGCAGCTCGCGCTCAAAGGCCATGACGTCCTTCTTCTCTACCTTCCAGCCGCAGTGCCAATCAGCAAGGATCGTAAGCAGCAGCAATAACACCAGCAGCGACACCAGCAGCAGCAGCTAGGTCAAGGGAAGTGTTTCTTTTTGAGCCTTCCCCAGTCTGCCAGTTAAACACTTCCTGCAGCAGCACTCGCATGCGTTGCTTTTTATTCATCGCTCGCTGCTCACAACCTTGCAACCTCTCTGCCTCCTCGCATGCGCCCTTGCCTCTGCCACTTCTGCTGCCTGGCCAGGTGAGTCCGAGTAGGTTCGAGCTTTGTCGGTGTATCGCGTTGCGTCGGTCGGCTGGCCGGACTAGGATAGTCGGGTCGGTCGGGTCGGTCGCGTGTTTGGGGGGGTTGGGAGGAGCACTTGCATACCACCAGCAGCTTATTATGGGCTCCTGGGCTTCACTGTCTGGGACTCGGAAAACCAGCTCATCAGCCCGTTTTTGGTCCAACCTCGTCAATGCCGCCACCAGGCCGGCGGCAAATCTTTATTCCAGCTCACGTCATCAGTTCTTTACTACTTTTTCGCCGCCTCTACGTACTACCTTTACTTCTTTACGGCTTGGTTCTACTGATTTTCTTCCGCTCTTATTTTAGTCTCGGCGGCTAGGTAGGTAGTTTTCCGCGGTCGTCATCGCTACTTCATCCCGAAGTCGGCGCCTTCAAATCCGGCTACTGGTCAGATCTGCTTTTTGTACACTCTTTCCTTGGTAGCAGCCCTAGATAACACTGCATGGTGGTGCTCGGTGTGATGGAGACCTTAGTGCCCGGGGGTGGGGGGTGTCACGACATTTTAGCGACAGGGGGGGAGGATTCGGACGGGCCTCTGAGTATTCAGAGGAAGGGAAGCCCTCGGAGTCTCTGGGAGTCAAAACTGTAGAGGAAAGGAGGCGAGCAGTGAGCACACAGCGTGCCCGTTACTAGTTACAAGTTCCACACCATGACAGCCGTGGGGCTGCAGCCTTGTCCAGTCCGAGGCCAAGGCAACGCTGGACAAGCAGACAGACAAACACAGCACTATGATGTCTTAAGCGTTCTCTCCCACTTTTCTGTCTTGCCCCTTCACAGATGCGTGAGCTTAGCCCCCATGCTGGCAGAAATGTAACCCCTCCACCTCTCTCCAGCCTCCGTGGTGCTGTTCGTGATCGTCCGCGCCGCCGTACTTCGCCGGGTCCGCAGCCTGGAGCTGGCGATATGGGTGAGAGCCGGGGCTGGGGTGGGGTGGGCTTGTGCGTGGGGTGTGAAGGGTGTCCCGGGTTGTGCGTGAGGGGAGGGGGAGGGCCTTGCGCCACCAGAGCAACTGCGGCCCTGTCTGCTGTTTCCACTTTACTTACGTTATTCGCCACCGGCTCCTCTTTGTCCCGCTGAGAGATCTCGGGTCCCCCTCTCCTCCCGCTCGCCCTCCTTGCCCCTGCCCGTAGTCCCTGCCGGTACTGGTACTGGTCACCGTCTTCATCAATCTCTTCTTCGTCTTGTACAAGGTGTGGGTGTGTGGGGGGTTGTTCGGAGGAAGGGGGGAGAAATAGGTTCTCAGCTTCGACGAGATGGTGCCCTCCCGCCATGCAGTAATACACAGCACTGCCGCCGTTTACCGCACATACATACATACGTATATGCAATCCTTTTCAAGCGCCACAACAATGCCACTAACAGCCCCCTCACACACGCAAATGGTGCCACCGGGCCCCCAATCCACACGCCCCCACCCCCCACCGGCCACTCAGGGTTCCGAGGCCCGGCTAGCCTGGACCTCCCAGAAGTGCGCCTGGGTGAGCTCGGTGGCGGCCGGGGGCTGCGCGCTGGTGACGGGGCTGCTGGGAGTGCCGTACATGAAGAGACACGTGGAAGCGGCGGCGCAGGCCAGGTGGGCGGCTGGGATGTCAGTGTTGGGGGTTGGGTGTTGGGGGGGGTCTCCCTCGTTTTCCCTGTCGTCATCATCATCATCGTCATCGTCATCGTCAGGGGGTTGCCCTCACGCGGGACCCTCACCCCCTCACCTCTGCGTACGCCCTGCAACGATTACTTGGTTGTCGGTTTGGTTAATGGGTTGGTGGGTTCGTTGCAGGTCCTTGAATAGCTTGAGTCGGTTGGAGCTTACGGGCACTCGGCCAAGCTCGCCCTCTGCACCCACGACGGGGCCACTGCCGCGCATGTCGGTAGCCCGGAACAGCCAGGCTGGCGCTGGCGGTAGCGGTGGCGGTGGCGGCGGCGGCGGTGGCGGCGGCGGCGGCGGCGGCGGTGGCGGTGGCGGCGGCGGTGGCGGCGGCGGCGGTGGCAGCGGTCCCTGGCGCGCCGGCGCTGGCCGGGGCATGACGGCAAGTCTGTCCGTTCTCTCCGCCGTGGCGCCGGGTGCCGCTTTTGTCGACGCACGGGGCCACGTGGCAGCGGGCCGTACAGGGTACGGCACAGTCACTGGATGTGTTGGGTCAGGACATGGCATGATGTGTGGGACAGGGGGGTCCGTATCTTCACCCTGCGGCCGCTACCCGGGAGACCCTGTGCCTTCCCCGGTATTTTGGGGCACCCTCATCCAGTCACGCTAGCATACTTCTCAGTGGATCGCTCAGGTTCCGCACCCACCATCGGCATCCAACGGAATCTGCCGGAACGACGGCGGCTCCAACTCCATTCCTGGTCAGCTCGCAGGTCTATTTTATCCCAGGTCACCACCGTCCATCGACTAGGGGCACTTTTACCTTCCACCACCGGAAAGATTTCCGACCCTGACAGGTCTCGACCCCGGAACCTCCGGGGGCATCGGCGCGTGCGCTACCAGTAGTGCCTGACCTATGTATGGTATGTATGTGTTCAAGCCAGCAGTGTGAAATCGCTCTAACCAGCTAACCTGCACGTCTGGTTTGGATTATATATCCTGCAGAACAAAGCAGGTACAGGCCAGGTACGGCAGTCATGGAGCGGCTAGCGGCTAATGCCTTCGGGACGTGCCTGGTGATGTGGGATGTTACGAACGGCACCACGCACGATGTGTACACCATTCGTGGGAAGGAGCTCATCACGTGGGCTGGGCTGGGTGATTTGGCCCAGTTACACAGGTGGGGGATTTGGCCCAGTTACACAGGTGGGGGATTTGGCCCAGTTACCACGTGCTTGACATTTGCTAAAAGCCTTCATGCTTTTCATGCACTTTGGGCTGGATAGCCTAGCTGTGTGTGCAACGGTGCTTTGACTTTGATGAAGGATTGTATTGCTAAGGGCTTGCATGGAGAACGTGGTTAGGGGCAGCTCATATTCCACTCCCCCCTGTTGCAACATGCAGGCCCACTACCCGCAGGCGCGGCACCTCCTTGCAGGCGAGAAACGGTCTACTCGCTTTGGTCGTTGAAGCTGGAGTAGCTTCCGGAGGAGGAACAGGTGTGGATGCGAACACTGTTCCAACTGCGCCGCTGTTTCGGCCCTGAAGGAGCAGTTGGACTCGATCATTCCCTTCCTGCCTCCGGAGGAGCGTGTGTCCACGGCGTTTGAGCTCATCTACACGGGGGTTACAGACGTGGACGCAGCAGGAGCCTGTTCCCAAAAGAAAACGGTCTACTACTGATGAGCTGGGGTGAGCCAGTGTGGTTGCCATGCCATAATATCTTAAACGCAATGGGTTTGGTTGCCTGAGAGGTCATGGATTTCAGTTTGGGCTGTACGACGAGTTATTGTGTAAGCTGGCACTTGGGAGTACGGATAGTTCCGAATAGAAATGCCGCACTTGGCGCAACTTGGCGCTGAATTAGAGTCTGTTCTAACCTGTTTGTTTGCCTTATATGTTCAACTTACATCGATTCGCTGTTGCGGATAAAGCACAGGAGGCCGTTTCACCTGTAAGGGCGGGTCGTTAACCGCTCGTTCTACCCACCTCTCCGAAAGCCATTACCCTATTGTAACTAATTCCTAACCGGCATCACACTTGTCTCCACCAGCGTCCACCTGGCATGGAGGCTCAAGCCAGTAACACGGCCAAAAAAATTTTAAGCGGTCGAGTTTTTGTCGACAGCGAAACGCAAGCCGCGGCCGCAAGCCGCGTTCACAATCCTCAATCCATGCTCCCGAGTTCCTGCTATCCAGATATCGTATGTAGCTCCTGCATTGATTCGGGATTGTTACAACATGAAATTCAGGCCGTGTTCCTTCCTAGCTGGTTCACAGAGTGCCTTGCGAGCCTTATGAACTCAATTGCTGTTTGTCACAATTGCGCATTACTTTTTACATTTGACTTTGCAGTTGTGCACAACGCACTTGTCCATATAGATTGGCATTTGCTTGTGGAAGCAGCTTCGTCTCGTCCTGAATCCAGTCCGTTGCTGTACCTGGCGCGCAGCTCGGTTAGGGCTTCAACGTTACAGCGTTTTCACAAAGTTGCGCACCATCCTTGAGGGGCCAGCGACTGCTGTGTTCAGCCACCTTTCAGCGCTGATATAGGAGTGCCTTTCAACCGGAGTCCAGCAACTCAGGCGAACTGAACCTTACCACGCGCCGAGAGCACTAAGCGACAATATAAATATTTATCTATTCAATTAATTTGAGGACGCGCTCATAGTCCCCTGTGAGAGATGCAGTCAAGAAGTCAGGCTTTCAATGTGCGCCGGGGGTGGACACGTGCTGAAGTGCAAGCTGCAAAGCGCCAGGAAGAAGAATCAGAAGATTTGATTGAGCAGCCAGGTGAGCAGGGGTATACGGTGGCGTACATTACAGAGGATGTTACTTCCGTTAAAAGAGGTTGTCAGCGAAAACAAGCGACACCGCCGAGGCCAAGCACCCTCCCTCATTATTTCATTAATTTAAATGCAGATACCGAGGCCCTCTTGCAGCCCCAGCCATCCGGTCCTCATGCTGCTGCGACAAGCTATGGAAGTCCTCGGGACATGGAACCAACGGCAGAAGCAGCTGCTCGCCGCGCAGCCTTCGCACGGAATCGGTCCTTGACCATGACTCGCACAAAGCGGAGATGGTGGCGCAGCGACGCTCGGGCCCTGAAGGAGATTCTGAGCAATTGGGCCAACGTGCTGCTGGTTACCGTCCCGCTGGGCCTTATTGCTGGTGCTCTGAACTGGACCGCCGAGTACGTGTTCGTTCTGGTGAGGAGCGCCTACATTTGTATTTGTATCTGGATCTTGATGGGGGGAAGGATCTGGGCTCGTACAGGGTTGAGGTGGATCCTGGTGGACGAATCCAGGGAATGGGGCGAGCTGTGCTTGGGATAGGGCGGCAAGGGCCAGGAGGCGAGAGAATGGAGGAGGCGAGAGAAAAAGAACAGCAAGTCACTGAAAAGGTTCCTTTCCCCTCCCCCTAAACCCCTAAACCACCCCCAACCTGCCTCCCGGTTTGGGTGACGGAGACGGTGACCGGGGAGGGGAGACGGGGTTTAGGAGGGGAGGGGAGGGGAACGGTCGTGGCGTTACCTTGCAGTCCCACATTCCGTGATGGGTCCATCCGTCTCTGCATGTGCCTGTCCTTCACAGCGCATGAATGTTGGGTTTGCACCCCGGCTTCCTTCTCTTCTTCGCTCCATGCATGTGCACAACCCCCATGCCTTCCCTCCCCTACCCTACCTTCCCCCTTACCCCCCTTACTTACCCTCCACTACCCCTGCCCTGCCCTGCCCTGCCGCACGCGTGTCCAGAACTTTCTCGCCCTCATACCCTTGGCGCTCATCCTGGGTGATGTCACAGAGGATCTGGCGCTGAGATACGGATCAGTGATTGGCGGGCTCATAAACGTGAGACAGACAGACAGACAGACAGACAGATAGGTGGACAGATAGATAGATGTGCAGACAGACAGACAGACAGGTAGACAAACAGATAGACAGATAGCGGGAGAGGCAGACGGACAGGTAGGTACGCACACACATACATACACACACGCACACATACACACAGAAAGGCAGACAGGAAGGCGGAGAGCACATGAGGAGGTTGCTCTGGGGTAGGGACTTGGGGAAGTGGAGTGTGTGGGGGGGGAAGAGGGGGAGAGAAGACGAACCACGGACGAGTGAAGCTGATACCAGAGAGATAGACAGATACTCCACGCAGGATTAGACACAGATATGCATCGGGAAGTCTTTCCCTGTGTGGTAGTCATCGCGGTGACGTGGCCAGCTAGCTAGGTTGCGAAACGGTTTACCAGCTGCTGCCGAGTCCAAAGAAGGAGGAAAGGCGAAACAGCAAAATCACTACCTCTCCGCCGAGATGAAGAAGTGAACTATCGGAGAGGAAAGGAGAGGAACCCGCAAAAGTAAAAAGTCAGGGTGCTAAAGGCGTCGAAGAGCAAACAGCGGCGGAAGTAGCGAGAAGAATAATATACATCTGTGGCTGTGTTGCTGTTGTTAAGCTGTTTGCTGGCATGCAAGTGCTCCTCCCAGGCCCCCAGCCAGCACAAGCCCCGGGCCAGGGCCAGGGCAAATCAGAGAGAGCAGGAACGTTGGTCAGGTCAGCAGCGGCTGACGAACATCAACAACCTCATCAGCGAAGTGCCGCTGAAGGAAACCAGCATGGTTACCGGTTTCTTTTAGCGGCGCTTCGGACACAGCAGATAACGGAGACACAGCAGAGAGGTGAAGAGAGCCTAGGGAAAGAGTCCTGGAGTGGGGGTGGGTACGAAAGCGCTGTAAGACGAGGAGCAGGCGGAAGGGTCGTACAGAGTAAGAAACCTAGAACACAGACATCGCACAAGCAAGCGCGACCAGGGGGGGGCCCTCCCAGGGGGAATGAACTGCCGCCGTCCTGAGTTCGAAACGATGAAGTCCCCGGTGGCGGTGGCGGTGGGGGGTGCGGCACCAGCAGGGGACTGAGGGGGGGTGTCCGCGACTTAGGGGGGGACGCCCAAGCAAGCACCCTCAAAGACACCTACGTCCGCTTCCCACATTACGTAAATTACACAGCTTGCGCGCACACACACACACATTCATGCACACACATTCACACACATTCACACAACCACACACACACAACAAAAGTAAAACACAAAACAACTCTTGACTTCCCTCCCTCCCGTCGTCCTCCTCCCCGCCCCCCCTCCCTCTCTCAACCCCCCCACACCCCGCACACGCCTCCTAAAGGCCACTTTTGGCAACATAGTGGAGGTCATTCTGTCAATCGCAGCGCTGCTTAACGGACTGTACGGCGTAGTGGCGGCCTCCCTGCTTGGAAGCATTTTGTCCAACTTGCTGCTGGTCACGGGTAAGTTCGCGGTTGAGGTGGTTGGCAGTGGTTGAGATTCGGTTTTCGTACGAGAGTCGATGCTGGCCAATTGCATAAGGTCGGCACAAAGGAAGGCGGTTTGCTGTTGACCGTTAGTGTGCGACCGTTGGTGTGTGATGATTGATGTGCAACCTCTCCTACCCCCCCGTCCTCATGCCCTCCTCTCCTCTCACTTTCTCCCAACACAATCGCACCCCAGCAAGGTTTGAAGCCAACAACCTGTTTCCTCCCCGCCCCTTCCCCCCTTGGTTTTGGCTTTGGTTTCATATTTCCACAGGTTGCAGCTTCTTCTTCGGAGGGCTGTTCAATAAAACCCAAAAGTTCAATGCGACCGGAAGCCAGGCGTCTGGGTGAGGGTTGAATCGTGCCGTTGGATGGGTTTGTGGCCGAGGGGAGGGGCGGGGGGGGGAGGGGAGGGGAGGGGAGGGAGGGGGAGGGGGGGAAGGGAGGGGAGGGGAGGGGAAGGAGGGGGAGGGGAGGGGAGGAAGAAAGATGTGGAAGGGGACGGTTAGAGAGAAGAAGGTTCTAGTGTGTAGCCCTTGGTAGCCTGGGGCACTACTCGTATTCGTGGGGATGTGCCCACACGACCATACGAGCAGCAAAGAGCAAAGGTCGTTATGTTGGTTGGCGGTTGGCGGCTGGCTTCCCTGTCATTATTTTTCGACATCTGCAGATTGTAACCCTCAGGCATGTTCCGCCTCAACACTTTCTGTTCCCGCCTCTTCCTACCCCCACGTACACGTACCTTCCCTTCCCCCCCACCCCCTCCCCCAACCCCACCCCCTCCCCCTCCCAGCTCACTCCTCTTCCTGGCCGCTCTGGGGTTCCTGATCCCCACGGGGGCGGCTTTGCTGTTCGGGTCGGGGGATGTGGACAGCAACAGTGACCTGGTGCTGGGTATTAGCCGGGGTACGGCAGTTGTACTGCTGCTGTGGTGAGTGTGGGGTGTGGGACCGGGGGTGGGGGGGGACCGTAAAAGGCAGGGGGTAGGGGGGAGGAGGGATTTAGGAAGGGAAGGCAAAACAGTCCGAGCCGTACCCGGGCCTTCTCTGATGGGGGTTGGGATGTGGGGGTTCTTCCTTACGGGGATCACAACTCATCTCCCCATTCGCGTCCCTCCTACCCCTCCGCCTCTTTTCCCCCCCCTTCCCCCGATTTTGCCACCTCTCTGCCTCGCATGTGCCTTTGCCCGCTGCTCCTGCTGCCTGGCCAGGTGAGTCCAATAAGATGGTTCGAGCTTCTTTGGTATTTCGCGTTGGCGTCGGTAGGCTAGCCGGAATAGTTTAGTTTGGGTCGGTCGGGTCAGTCGCGTGTTCTAGTTTTTTGGGGGGTTGGGAGGAACACTTGCATACCGGCAGCCTTTCAGTATCAGCAATGCAGCTTTCTCTCCTGGTCAGCAACTTTACGCAACTTCTACGTCAAAAAAAAAAAAAATATATATATATATATATATATGCATATATAAAAAAATATATAAAATATATATAAAATAAATATATATATATATATAAAATAAATATATATATATATTTATTTTTTTTTTCTCGCCGCCTTCACTACTTTTTCTACACCTACTAGTTTACGGGTTGGCTATAATATTTCTGGCGGCTTAGGTAGGTAGGACTTCCTACTTCTACGTCAAATCTTCATCCCGAGGTTACAGTCGTCATCCCGAGGTTACAGTCGTCACAGTCGCCACGGACGCCTTTCGGTCAGTTCTTTCGGTTGCTACTTTCTTGCCCTGGCAGCAGCTTAAATCGCGTGTGGTTCGTCTTTCCCTTCCCCCCTCCCCCCCTTCCCCTCTCCCCCCTCCCCCAGCTACGGCTGCTATCTGGGCTTCCAGCTGTACACACACACGGACCTATTCGAGGTGGGGTCGGAGGGGTTGGAAGAGGGGCAGTGGGGGGGGAAAGGGGAGGGAGGGAGGGAGGGGCCTCCGGAAGTAGGCACTTGGTGGGTTCCCTTCGTGGTTTTGCTGCCCCTCTCTCCCCACACACACACGTATTCCCCTCCCACTGACCCACTGACCCGCTAACCCGCTAACCCGCCCTCCCCCCTCGGGGCCAGGACACTCCCGAGGAGTCCTCTGCCAGTGGGGGGCCCCCCCGGAGAGCCAGGAGCCCATGATGAGTCTG